ATATAGTCGAGTTTGTCACTCTTCAATTTGTGAGGTCAATTTAAGTCTACCATCTGCAAGAAGCTCCATTCAAGTAGCTCGCTTGATTGTAGTCTCCTACATCGACTACCCCATGCCTGCTGCTCGTCAGGCCCTAGTCTTGTGCGCTGCGTGATTGCGTGACACCAGGCCTTTGCGCATGCGTGCCAGAGTATGGTCATCATCACTCTCAGCGATCTGTGTTATATTAGCTCAACTGCTGACGGTGTGCCATTCCACTTACGGCACTGGATACTCCATAATGTCACGGGCGCTCACACAGTCGTCGATACTCTTGAGAAGAGACACGAAGGCTTTCATCAGCTGCTGAGCTCAGAAGAGTTTCCTTACTTTTTATACGGTTATTTCGGGTAAAAGTGTACGAAAATCAATAAGAATTTCCCAAAAATATCCCAAAATTTCTCACTCGTCACTCGTCATTCAGTCACTAGTTAGTCGAAGCCTCTCAATTTTTCACGGATACTTTTCTATCACCGCTTTTACTAATTTATACCTGTTTTAATTGAAATTGATAATGGACGTATCTTGAGGTTGACCGCTTGTGTTGTAGTGATGAAAGATTCCTCTCAAACAGCAGCTGTGTTGTAGTCTTCACCCCAACATGACGACTACTACTACTACTTCAGAAATGTCTTCCGAATCGGATGGCGGCGGTGGGAATATGATAGAAAGCATGCCGCATTTTATGTCTATACTATACCCGGGCTCGCTGGAGAAGGCCGATATAGAAAAAGTAGTAGTAGTAGTGCTAGTAGTAGTAGCTGTAGTAGTAGTAGTAGTAGTAGTAGTAGTAGTAGTAGTTTGGTTTGGTTTGGTCTGGGAGCACGGCATCTCCTGTATACACAGTATGGCCGTATTGCTCTTGCGTCCTGCGAGGACGCTCAGTGCCATAACGGCACCGCAAGTTCGTTACCGATGCTTGGCGGCTTGGGAGGTAGTGCTCCAGGCCGGTGCACTCGCCCTCAAGAATTTCCTCAGTGAGTGGAGACCACTCTCTCGTGCTGTCGTCAAGGCCCCACGGATCAGGGTGAGCCCGCGTTGCGGTCTCTCTCCTGCTAGTGCTGACAGGAGTGGATCCACGCCCCAGATTTTCTTTCTGAGTGTACACATCTTCCTCGAAGGACACCAGAAGAAGTGTGGTAGGTCTTCTTTATGAGACCGACAGTAGCGACATTTCCAATCCGTGATATCGGCTGAAAGGTGTCGAAGATAGCCCTTCGTGCTGCTGTGGAAGGTGAGGAGTTCGAACAAACGCCGCCGATCCCCGATCTTCCATCCGATACATCTTTTTACTATAGAAGAGAGTTGTTTACGGCCAAAACCGAGACCGAGTCTGTTCACAGCTAACTGCCCTCTCTGACACCTCCACTTCTCCTCCATGTGCACATGAGAGAAGTGTATCAGCTGTGCTTTTGTGAAAGATGCTGGTCTTTCGACTTCATAATAGATAGTATCGGGTCCGTTCCGGGCCCCACGTCCTGCGTGCAGGTCACTTAGTTCATTCAGCCAATGGCCAGCATGACCACGGACCCACCACAAACAGATTCGATATCCCTCCGTATCCTGACCTACCCAACGATGA